ACTCTGACCCATTATTAAAGGTCAAGTTGTGCACTGATAAAACAGTGTCAAAGTCACCAAGGCTATTTTTATCCACAGCCAGATGTTGAAACAGAAACAATAAAAAGTTATCCGGGAATTAGCACGTAATCTACATTTTATCTCTAGTCTTAACTTAAAGCAGGTTTTAGTTTTTGGGTATTTGCACGGTAAAAAAAAACATGGCAGGAAATGCGCTATTTATACGTGACTTTTAACACTTAAACTGTAATTTGATTACACAAGCATCCATTTTGTAATAAATACCAGCAGCGCAATAAAAAATTGTTTACGTTCACATTTTCAGCTGTAAGAGTTAAACTTGGCCTAGTTGCATCAGAAAGCAAGGTCAATTCAGACCGTATGGAAACTTACAGCGTTACAATGGCGCCCGCATCGTTTCGTAGCTTTTTCACGGTCCGACATTTGACACTCGTCACTGAATAGTTGCCAGACCATGACACATCGTTCACGTCTGAAAGATTGGGTTAGTCCGTTAGATATTGGGTTAGTCCATTATTTGTTGGGTTAGTTCATTATTTGTTGGGTTAGTTCATTAGATATTTGGTTAGTCCATTAGATATAGTTCATAATAAATTGTGTTCATAAATTGGACTCACCCATTACATATTGGGCTAGTCCATTATACATAGAGCTACTGCATTTGGATGAACGGGTTAGTCTTAGTTCATTTGGGGCGGCGAATATTTATAACACAAAAATGTAAAATTTTACCGACATCTGATTCATGTAACATTGGATCAGTATGTTTACTAAAACATTGGGTCATTCTAGTAGTTGAAAAATTATAGGCTATAAACAGTATATGACAGGGTGTTAAACTAAATGTTGAACGAGTCTAGAGGGAGTGAAGGGCTATTAAGAATGTCTTAAAATATCATGGCGGTCTCAATGACACAGACAATACAATAGGGTTGGTTTCTCAAATACCCTCCTGACATAAAATTGTAGCGATCGTAAAACTAAATTCATTGACTATTTAAAACATGAATATCATACTAGGGAGAATGCCTAAACGGTATTAAGCTGATAGCAGTAATCGCTAGATCAGGTGCATTGGTAGATCCAGAGTTAGGGTTATGGTAGAACATATGTTGTTTTGGATTAAGAATACAGATAGCATTATCTGGCAATGATATGAAACATACACCTCTATGATGTATATGTTATGCAGAAGCGTACAGACTCGAGCCTGGGATTCAAACTCCAGACTTTCGGGTTAGCAGTTATGAGATCTACCACCCAACACCTTCCCCATAACCACAAATTTAGGAGGTCTTTAAAAAAGGAAATACCAGAGCACATCTTCAAAACATAGACCAGACAGCACAACAGCTAATTGTGAAAAAGAAAAAAAAAACAATTCGCAGAAGAATAGGTTTGAAAGAGTAACTTTAGACTTCATCTACCACCCCTCTTAAGGACCAACTACCCAATGTATGATCTCGCATGTTGATCAATGCCTATTACAACAATAAAAAAAACTGTACATAGTTCATTGATAGAGAACATTGTCGAATGTCAGGTATTATTTCAGACATTGATACAGGTAACAAAATGATGAAGATGACGAGACTTACAACGTTGCACAATATTCTGTAGATCACTCTCCGTACAGCCCACTACAGTACAGATGTCTGCAATAAACGGCGGCTTTTGTACCGGGAACGGGAGGTTCTAAACATGAAAAGAAAAAAAAAGAAATTTAGAATAAGTTCTAGATCTAGATAGTTTTCTTTTATTCTTGGATTTACTGAGAGTTTTTTGTTTTTTTTTTTTTTTTTTTTTTTTTTTTTTTTTTTTTTTTTTTTTTTGTAGTCAACGCAGGCAGAATAATATTTGGGAGAAGTTTCATTACACACCTGTTTCATATGAGTCCTATGTTAATCATTTGATTAATCATTTGATTTTTTCATAGAAATAATACATGAATCACATGAATCGATTTAATAAGTATACATGGGAAATGTAAATCACAAAATCATGAAATAGTTGTATGCTTTCCTACAGAGTTTCTGTAAGACATCACTCATGGTTTTGAGGGGGGGGGGGAATAGTGGAGATGTTTCAAGTGCCACCTACCCTCCACCTGGAAGTCAAATGTCTGAAAGAAACTCTGCTCCTGTGCCGGTAAAGGCACGTACATTAACGGTAAACAGCAGAATGTTTTCATACAAAAAACAGGTAGATGTACTCAAAAATCAAAATCCGTTCTCTACTTACAAATCCTTGCAGTAGATTGACAACCCACTGGGGCGTGGCTATGTAGACGGCACAAAACTGGGTGGGCGGGGCCTCCCCCGTGGTCAGCTCGCTGAAGTAGTAGCCCATAGAGTTGATACACTGGTGGAAGTTGCCCACCCAGGTCAACGCCCCTGTGAAGAGGCCAGCGCCCTGTTTGCCAGTGGCGTCGTAGACTGAAATTAAAAGGGGGATCAGTTGTAATTCTGGAGTTTCAATGGTTAAATGGAAAGAATAGTTATATATAACTCCGATGTATTAATAATTAGAAGGAAAACTAGTTTCAATTCTGGAGTTTTAATAATCATAATATTAATTTTAAAAATATGTCAAGTCTCTATAGGGCTGGTAAGTAGGTCACAAACCAGTTCTACGGCTCAATAAAACCTGCATGAGCCATATAACTGGTTGGTGACCTACTTACCAGCCCTATAGCATTACACTTTGAACCCTCTGGAAATGAAGGCATTATTTTTATTAAAAATATATTTTTTGTATAATTTGATTAATGTCAAACTATGACGTGAGATACATTTTTTTTCATAACAAAAAGGAGAATTTAGAATAATTTAACAACCTAACACACCTATTTTTGGAAGAGTCCACTGGCGGACAGTGGCGAGAGGAGTACGCCAGTTATTTCATCAATGGCCGCCGCTTTTGTTTTATTGTTAGCATCAGAAATCTAAGTCCTTCTCAACACATAGATGTTACTACCGGCTAGTCAAGTATAGAGACTGTCATGTCAAGGTCACGAATTAAGACCCCCCCCTTACTCCCAACTCATGTGATTATAATTAGACCGACGTTACAGTGCATCCTGCGTTGACCATGTTTAAAGAATTGCATTAGCGTCCCCTGCATATTGCTTGTCAGGTTTTGCACGCTGAACATCGCCAACCCCTCACCCCCCCCCCCCCCTCCCCGCCAGTAGTGCGAGACAATTGTTCATCAGATAGTTAGAACTAAGTATAAGAAGGAGGTTAGGATGGATGGGGGGGAGGGTACTTGTAATGGTCTTTCTAAGTACCGTAGTTGCGCGACCGCGCACTTGTTATAAACTTAACGCGCATTTTGTTTCTTTAAAAAACATAACCATGCAAAAGTCGTTTTTGATAATTAAAGTCAAGAACATATTTTTTGCACAACAGCTGGTACTTAAAGGCAATACCGGTTGCTTATGATATTTCTTCATTGGAATAACATGATTTAACTAGTAACGCTGCCATAACTTTAACCAGGCATTAAATCTGACACTAACCCCTATCCTGGCTCAGAAAAGAACGCAGTGACCGTAACAAATGTATGCCTTGCCAGCAATCATAATAGAACCATTTATGCAAATTATATCTGACTAATTTGTCATTTTGTTTTGCACCTCTAAAATCCATCCCTCAACACCTCCCACACACAACCCCATAGAATCACGCGTGTATATCACCCACCCCACACAACACCATCACGACCCTATTCAAGTAATGAACCTCGACATCCATACCTCATACGACACCGGTGACGTCATTGATAAACTGAAAGTAGAAAATCTCTCCACCAATCAGCGAGCGGAACACGGCGGTGTTGACGAGAAATGGAAACCTAAGGAGGAAAGCCAATAACCGTTCCACAAGAGCAGGGGTCTCCAAACTACGGCCCGCGGGCCGGATGCGGCCCGCGGGGGCCTCTCATCCGGCCCGCGGAGATATTTTTGTCCAAAGAAAAATCGTTTGTTGGTGATGGCTAAGGAACTTTGACCAGAAAAATCAAAGACATGCCTGGAAGAAACTGGCCCACCAACTGAAATTTGATAGTTAATGCGGCCCTCGGACTGAAAAGTTTGGAGACCCCTGCACAAGAGGCTAGGGCCAAGGAAAAACTGTTTGTGTCGTCTGTTCACGTTTTCGGGGCGTGCTGCAACCTGGTTATGTGGTACTTGGCACTTGCGGTGTACTTTACCACCGTGAAAATCTGGCATAATTTTTTTTATTCGCGATTTTTTAAATATCTAATTAGATGATTCACGAAACTTATTCATAGTTTTAATTACATGGTAATTGGGTATCTATTAATAAACATTATAAACAGTCAAATCTTAAGGTTATTTTTTTTACACAATCATATTTTGTAAATTTTAATAGGAAGAAAGTATGGTTATACCACGTGACATTTATGTACAGTCCATCGTGGTTTTGAACTCGGCACTGAATAAAATGTACGGAGTTTCATTTTGTCACAGACAAGTTTATTATCTGAATTTAAACCCTTCATATGACCATGGTATTTAGATATAGTATTAGGAATTAGACATCAATTTTGTATGTGAAGACATCAATTTTATATATGAAGACATCAATTTTATATGTGAAGACATCCAATTTTATATGTGAAGACATCCAATTTTATATGTGAAGACATCCAATTTTATATGTGAAGACATCAATTTTATATGTGAAGACATTAATTAGACATTGTAGATGTGCAGACAATTGTAGATGTGCAGGTACAGCAGTAATACCAGTGCATGTTGTAACAGAGTTATGTATGCAATTTTCTTCATAAACAAGTCGCAATGTCTAAAGCTTTTTCAGCTATTTCCTTCACTGACCCCGCCCCTACAATCACACACAGGACACCCCTCTTTCCCCCCCCCCCCCCCAGGAAGTTGGGGGTGGTGGGGAGGGTGAACTAGTGAAGAAATAGAACAGTAACACGAAGGAAACACTTTTTGCGTCTTGGCTTAGAGTCGGTCACCCTTTCGACACATCTACCCGGATCAATGAACCAATCAGCTTTCTTTTATGTTGACCTAATTGTGTATCTATAAATATCGCTCAATAACCTCGCTTGCGCATTTTAAACTGCTGAGAGAAGAACTAAAACGTTGGAGTTTGGGTGGGTTTTTTTCGTATTTTTTTTTGCTTATTATTTATTTACGTGCCGACCCGCGGCGTATCATACGCCGCTATTTAGTTGTTTTATTTTCTACTTTTCAGTAGGCCCTAATTCATAATTTGTGAATTCGACAGTACCAATGCTGCCACTGAAAATATTTGCTTTAAAACACTATCAGTAGGTCGTTTAGGACAATACTACCCCCCCTCCTTTCCCCAACCCCTACCCTACACCCGCCCCCCCCCCCCCCCCCCGTGAAAGCTGTTAAGCAGCCTCCTCTTAGTTACCTCCCCTAAGTTTAAAATAGTTTCTAACTAAATTATCTGCCCCTAATAGCCGTCACTAAACCCGGCTCTACGATTGTAAACATTTAGCGTGAACCACAGCTCACCAGACCATGTGGGGGTGGGGGAGGTTGATTTATGCCTAGTGAAGAAGAGAGGGGACTGCAAGGCGCGCTTACAGCTTGTTTTCTAGGGTCTCCAAGAAGAGAATTATATATATAGATAGATAAATTTATTTATTTTTATAGCCAACCTCATAATTATATCAAACTGATTTATTTAAGTACATGTTTAGTTAAACATAAGGTAAATATATTAAAATAATCTATTTACAATTTTATTTACCCATGAAACGGTTTTATAAAAGTAATGTATTTTAAAAGTATGCTCAGTTAACTATCATGTGAAAATATTAAAATGATTTAGTTAAAGAAAAAACTTACTGTTCCATGCCCACCCCTTCCTGTCGATAAAAGCGTTGTAGTAAGTCTCAAGGTTTCGACTGCAGTCTTCGCTGGAGTTGTAGAACAGCGGTCTCCGGCCAGCGTCAAGAAACGCCCGGTAGATGTGGGGGAAGAAGAGATAGCCGGAGCTCTGTAACTTCTCGATCTCATCGCTGATGATGTCCGAATAGTCACTGGTGGTGTTGGCTACAGGGAGGTCGGTTGTTGAGTGGGTTGTTGGTGGTGGGGGTGTAGAAGTTTGGGGGTTTGTTGTTGGGGTTTGAAGTGTGGTGGATAGTGGGGGTGAGGTTGAAGTTGTTTGTGTACTGCATGTGTTAAGTAGACAGGAAAACGAGATTAGGAGAGTGGTGTAATCCATGATGTGATGCGGCCGAAGTTCTCAGAAAGGGGAGGATGTCAAGCTCACATCATGATGTGTAGACATCACAGTGATGGAAGTGGATGTCAGTGATGTTTGGTGCCCGTTGTGTGTCAAAGAGAAGCGACCGTTGGCTCGGAGGTTCAACCTCCAAGTGATGTGTCACATTGGCCTTTCGTACCTACAAACATGAAATGACAAATGAAATGACACATTTAATAACATGAATGTGTAAATAATCAACGAAAATTGTGGTGTTAAGTTGGTTTGTTTTAGTGTCTCTAGGACTGATGACGATATCAATATTTTATTTAAAGCTATATAAACAAACTATTTACGCATTATATAATCAAATTTTAGATTTTAAAATTGAAAACATTGGGGCTACTGGGATTATTTTATATGAATTTCTATAACTTTTTTTTATATTTCGAAAAGAACCTTTCAAAATTGACGGTCCATGATGCAAAATAAAAGTAGAGTTCACCTGTTTGTGTGACCACAGCATAAAATAGTAGAACATGTACCCATCAGAGCTGAGTGGAGTGAACCGAACTCGAGAATTTCGGGTTTGCAGTCGTTCGCTCAGCCGCCCAACCACGCCATTAAATTACAAAATATAAAAAAAATTGCAACAACTCGATGCACTATGTAGCCATAAAACAGAAAAATACATGGTAACACGCTTACACGACAATTTCTTTTATTGAAATCCTACGGTGTGTTTTCAAATAATGTAACATTTAACAACTTCGTTACCGAAGGGGTCGCTTATTATTCACTACACGCACTTACGAGTGATTTTTGACTAGTTTGATGGTATGATTTTAGGATGGAGAAGTTAGGACGGAGAAATTAGGACGGATGGGTTGGGGGGGGGGGGCGGGTTAAAAAGTGACGTCTCTATTGATTTGCGTTACTTAAAAATAAAATAGTGTATAAGATAAGACGGAAAGAATTGTAGTTGTTTTATTTTGTTCAGGGGTTGTGGGGGGGGGGGGGATTTATTTATGTGACTTGTAAAGATATGGTTAGCTTTGTATGGCTTTGCCATACCTTTTCAAAGAGTTAACGTTAATGAAAAATTTAGGTTCAAGTATCGTATAAGGTTAAGTCTAATATCTGGTAGGGTGAAAGTTACATCTGTACATTAGTCCAAGTCACAATCGGCGCTTAGACACTATTGTCTTGGTTTATACAACATTACCTACAATACATCGATAGTAATCTAATGTATCATCTAAGTAAGGTTATTTGTTTTGCTGAAGCTAAAGGTGCGAAAATTAAAAATGTGAAACTTAAAGATGTGAAACTTAAAGATGTGAAACTTAAAAATATGAAACTTAAAGATGTGAAACTTAAAGATGTGAAACTTAAAGATGTGAAACTTAAAGATGTGAAACTTAAAGATGTGAAACTTAAAGATGTGAAACTTAAAGATGTGAAACTTAAAGATGTGAAACTTAAAGATGTGAAACTTAAAGATGTGAAACTTAAAGATGTGAAACTTAAAGATGTGAAACTTAAAGATGTGAAACTTAAAGATGTGAAACTTAAAGATGTGAAACTTAAAGATGTGAAACTTAAAGATGTGAAACTTAAAGATGTGAAACTTAAAGATGTGAAACTTAAAGATGTGAAACTTAAATAGATGTGAAACTTAAATTTGTGAAATTAAAAGATGTGGCACTTTATTATGTGAATTTAAAGATGCTACCTACCTGAAACACTCAACTAAGAACCAACCAAAGACAGCAGTGCTTGTCTCAACATCCAAAGCCCTTCACGTGTTCCTAGCTTAAAGTCTCGCATATCAAAACAGTCTAGAAGTCACGTGGTCTTGTACTAAAAATAAACACTTCCTTTTTTCACTCTTGTTACGTAAGTGTCTTCCTTATCTTGACGCTGGGAATTTATTTTTGTCTTAACGTAATTTTTTAAAACCACTGGTGACTGTCAGTAAACACGACACAGTATCGACACAGACGGAGGTTTTTGTCACTGACGGCCATCACACGGTGCTGCGGTCGTCTACGGTTGGTTGGTTACCCTTCAGTGGTCATGCTTAATAGAGCGTGACGCTGAATAGTTTTCTTTCATGGTTCGTGAAAACAGCTGTTCTGTAACTGTGCTACACATACTAATACAGTCGTGGTACACATCCACATACTGTCGTGGCTCATATACATTTTAAAGTAATCTTACACATACGGGCAATGGTATACATATAGTAGTGGTACACATACACATTTAGTAGAAGTAAACATATGCATATAGTAATGGTACATATAACAATTATAATAGTGGTAAACACACATGTAGAGGTACAAAAACACACAGGGTAATGGTACGGTACACATACAATATAGTATACATAACTGCTAAAGTAACTGTACACATACAGTAATGGTACACATTCAAATAGGATAATGCTACACATACACATACAGTACAGTGGGACACACAACAGCTCACAGCTTAAACTAGGGCGGTCTGTGAAAAAAAAAGTCATTTCGTATTTCGTGCGGAAATTAATGTGTCTGCATGCTAGACTGCTGGCTGTAATGTTCTAGTTGTCAAGTCTTGAAAGGGGGTTAGCGCTACCAGGTGGCATATTTTACAATTACAAAAAACGCAAAAAAAAAAATACATAAGTTAAACAAGAGATGAAAGCAAAATTATCCAGTAAATGTTTATTATAGGTTTTTTGTTCTTTTGTTTGTGAAGAATTAAATTTTGCAATTATTTTAGTAGACAAGTTTCACCAAGTTTAGAGTATTTCTAAAGAAAGTGTGTGTGTGGGGGGGGGGGGGGAATTGAGGTTATCCTCCTTACAGGCGAGATCAATAGTCGTAAAGTATTGAGAAAAACACAACTGAATGGTAATTAAAAATTTTGTTTAGACTTTGTGAGATATAAAACCATGAGGGGGAGATAATTAGAATGTGTGAAATATGTAACGAAGGAAGATAAGTAATTAAAATACGCGAGACATCACACCTTTGTAACGAGATGAGATAATTAATTAGAGCTTGTGAAATAGTAGGCGTAAAGGTGAGTTAATTAATTGGAATTTATGAGGGATTAATTTTTTGGTAATTAGATAAAACAATTAGAATTAATAAGACCATTATACTAACTTTGTAATCATGTTCTTTTAGGTATATCTCCAGCGCCCTACACCCCCTCCTTCGAAAATTTCATGTGCCTCCCCTCTTTCTCCCCCCTACCTGAATATATATCCCCCCCCCCCCTCAGAAAAAAGTCTGAAAGAATGAAAGAATCACCGCTTAAGAAGAAATAAGAACCCTTAATTTGGAAGCTAAATGGTAAAACAAGACTGTTTTTCTTCTCGTCAAAACCTTCAGCACATGAGCAACTTAGGATGGACATGTTTCTACTGTCTTCATGTGACTTCTACCTAAGTTCATTCAACCATGATAGAACATTGATTGTTTAGTGAATGGTGTAATACAATTACGGTGTGGTGTGTGTTCATTAAGCTAATTCTAAGTATGTGGTCACACTTTTTAGAACAAATACGTCCAGTGATGAAAAAATTACCAGTATTTTTATTGATGTGCTTGGAGGGGAGGGGCAGGTCTGCAGATGTTTATTGATTATTATTGATGTTTTGGGTTTCGTCTGTGTTATGTATTTATACGTATTGTAAAGATAGATGTCCTCGTAAGTTTACATCAGGTGATCAGATATATTGATGTAGAGAATTCTTGTAAATGATGTAGGCTACATTTGCCCTATAAACATTGTAAAGATAGATGTCCTCACGAGTTTACATTCGGTGCCTATATAAGGAAATCTTGTATAGGATCTACATTTGCCCAAGGAACTTTTGAAATTGTGTCTACATCTAAATTGGTCCAAGGAATATCTTAAAGTGGATGCATGTTGACCAAAGCAACATTTTAAATTAGATGTATGTTATCTAAAGCAACATTTTAAATTAGATGTATGTTATCTAAAGCAATATGTAAAACTCTATGTTGTCTAAACAATAAGTCAAATGCGATCTGTTACCCCGAGCAATACCTAAATAGGATGTACGTTGCCTAGTGAGCGTGTTAAATAGATCAGAGTCATCTTAAATAAAGATTCGCCAAACACAGGTCACATGTGTATAAACTTATCACATTAACACACATGTGTGAACGTATTACATAGACATACGTGTATGAGGTTATCACATCAACACAGTGTATGGAGTACTCACAGACTTATGTGTATGGAGTTCTGACGTCAAACGTAAACATTCAGAAAAAGAAACTATTAGTTGTCCCAAAACCCTACATAATTTAGTTTATGTAATGTTAGTTCATAAGATTGTAATAGATCTACATAATTTAGTTTATGTAATGTTAGTTCATAAGATTGTAATAGATCTACATAATTTAGTTTATGTAATGTTAGTTCATAAGATTGTAATAGGCCTAAACAGCTGATAGCCCAGTTTTTTTTTTTAAATGATTTTTTTTTAATCTTTGCTAGAGCTTAAAGAGATAAGAATATTATGATTACAACTATTTAAAAAAATAAAATAAAGATGATAGTAGAGGATACAACAATAGATAACCCTACAAGCGTTCCTTTTTCTTTCAGATCTTTTTCCCGGGGAGGGGGGACGCATGGAATTTCCGCGGTCGGAATAAAATTTTAGGGAGAGGGGTGGTGGACACTGGTAAAGGTATACATTTTTCTATATAACTTCTTTTTTGATACTTGAAAATAATGAAAAAAAGGGCCGCTCTATGGACCTATAAACATCATTCCTCTACAGGCCATGCACCCCTATTTACTATGACTATATCAAAATAATAAACCACCCCTGCTCCTTTTTTGTTATAGACTATAGACCTATGTACATTATAATATGCAGTATCCCTATATAGCCTATAGTTGTTCAATACACTGATATATTTAGAGCTACTAACTGCGATAGGTTGATATATTTTTTTTACTTACCACTTTCAGAACTACTAATGAAATTAATTCAATTAGAGTTTTACATAATCAGCGTCAAGATATCCATAGCTCGAGTAGACAAGGGAATGTTCCTTTGTTTTGTTCCTTATTCCTGGGAACTTTCCTTTTGTTTTATTCCCTATTCCCGGCAATGTTCTTTTCATTTTCCTTCTCGAAGTGAATGTTGGTTTTTTTATTCCTTACTTGCAGGAATGTTCATTTGTTTTATTTCCTATTTATGAGATTGTTTCTTTGTTTCTTTCCTTCAGGAAATATTCCTTTGTTCTATTCCCTACTTTTGGGAATGTTCATTTGTTTTATTCCCTATTGATGTTCCTTTATTTCTTTACTTCAAGGAATATCCCTCTGTTTTATTCCCTAAATAGCGGGAATGTTTCTTTGTTTAATTTCTTGCACCAACGAATAAAAAATGACACCACTGACGCCCAGTAGAATGCATCAACCCAGTTTGTGATTTATGTGACAAAGAATCTAGGGTAACAAGTTGTACACTGTTTCCCTAATGGAAACTGCTTCATTTCAGATGGACACGTCTGTCTTTTTTGGGTTGGGTTTTTGAAATGCGTGAATTGTGTTCACCCTAGTTGTTTAAGACAACACGAACACTTAAAAATAACATAAAGTGTGTAGGTGTGTAGTTAAAAGAGTTAAATGGGGATGGGGGAAGGGTTAAAGGGGGGGGGGGGAGGATTAAAGAGTTACATCCGAGATTCGTCAAGATGACCTAATTTTTAAGTAAGGTCTACTTAACGGACGTTTTAAATGCTGAAATGTTTAATAATGAATTAATGTGAATGTTTATCTCATAATATTTTTTTTAATTGATAATCTTGCATAGGAGTAAATTAGCGATATTGCAAAGAAGTTTTAAGTCGTGAGAGTGGTGTTTAATCTTATTTTTTACTGCTCATGGGGAATCTACAAATGACCAGTCACGAAATATGTCAAAGCTCAAAGCACAACTTTCGTATTCCATGAAGACCAAAATTATATATATATATATATATATATATATATATATATATATATATATATATATATATATATATATATATATATATATATATATATATATATATATATATATATATATATATATATATATATATATATATATATATATATATATAGGCCCTATATATAAATATATAATAAAATAAATATATATAAATAAATTAAAATATATAAATATATAAATATATATATATATATATATATATATATATATATATATATATATATATATATATATATATATATATATATATATATTTATATATTTATATATATATATATATATATATATATTTATATATATATATATATATATATATATATATATATATATATATATATATATATATATATATATATATATATATATATATATATATATATATATATGCTCGATTTAGTTTATAGTAAAATTCACTCAACTTTTTTCAGATTATTCTTTAAGGGAACATAATACATTTTCAGTCAACCAATTGAATGACAGAGGAAAAATCTCATGGGCCCTCAGGAACGGTGCTGTAATAAATACTGTGTTGGTGTTTCTCAATTTTACTATTTCCACTCCTTCAAACAGACGTGTAAAATGCAGGTTTTGATGGAGGAAGAGCAACAATGAAAATTTCAGCGTGGGGTTTGGGCCCCCTTTATTAAATTTCCCGGGCCTCTATGATACAACCAGTCCACTGTTGGCTGACTCTGTAGTTTTGCCATTGTTATTAATTTACCTACTTCATTAGCCAGCCTTTTCAATTGTTTAATATTAAAAAATAAAAATAAGATATATTAGAAACTTATTGTTTTAAATCAAAATATTGTTCGGGGTTTTTGTATTCCAAGGGAGATAACATTTAACTTTTTTTCATAGTTTTAAAAATACCAAACAGTTGAAAAAATTAAATTTGTAATAATTTTTAGTGTATATTTTTCTATTATAAACAATAGTGTAAGAAACAACGTCAATCTAATAACTGTTTATATTTGTCTTTCAAACATGTTAATAACTTTAACATTTTTTTAGAAACTTAAACTATTTTATTTAATATTTCTTTCTAAAAAGCGACTTTGCTTAATTTATCAATAGTTCATTGGGCTTAATTCAGGTTCTATTTATACATTCAATATTGTCTAATGAGGGAAGTTGAGTGATCTGGCTTATAAACTTGAAGATGCCACCATTGAAAGAGGGATCTTGGTTTCTTGGATAATACCATCTTCTACACCTCAGAAGTTGCCATTTACATGGAAAGCATCCAGTCGATTTATTACTGCAGCAGTAGGATTGTATGGAAAACTATGGCTAGCGTGGTTAAATAAAGTTCGTGTTCACAACAAAGAGGTCCTACATAAAGTTTTAGATGAAAGGCCAAAAGGTCAAGGCTTGTTGACAGTTAGCAACCACAAAAGCTGCCTGGATGATCCTCTCATGTGGGGTATTTTAAAAACAAGACAGTTGATAAACTGGGACTTGATGAGATGGACATCTGCAGCTGAAGACATTTGTTTTCGAAACCCAATTCACGTTTTATTTTTCTCCCTTGGCAAAGTGTTCCCAATAGTAAGAGGAGATGGCGTTTATCAAAAGGGCACAGATTTTTCTATCGAACAACTTAATTTAGGAAAGTGGGTTCACTTTTTTCCGGAAGGCAAAGTAAATGTTACACAGGAGGCAAAACGATTAAAATGGGGGGGGGGGGGGGGTTGGACGCATTATAGCAGAATGTGAGAAACCACCACTTGTTGTACCCATATGGCATGTTGGTATGGACTCGGTTCTTCCTAATCGTCAGCCTTACATTCCCCAAATAAAACAAAAGGTAACATCTTTAATTGGAAAGCCTATGGAATTCACAAAAGATTTGGAGTTTCTGAAGTCTGCTAAAAAATCTCCTCAAGAGATCCGTAAACATATCACAGATAAAATTCAAGAGGAATTCAAAGTGTTACGGAGTGTTGCAGAAAAGCTTCATAATGAATATACTTCATGACAGCTTTCTATTGAATTTATTATCCAAATGACATGTATATCATAAGCTATACTTTACCATCTAAGTTTACACTAATAAATTTCCAAACCATCCATTTATATTAACTAAACAAAACAAATTTTAAAATGTTAATGGAGTACTTAATTGGGCAGTGATACAAAAGTCTCTTATACTTGTTATACCTTGCTTGTGAATACTTTTTATCTGTTCCTGCAATGTAGAATTCAGTTCATATTTCAATGCACACTTTATTTAGTAAATATCAGTGTTCTATTATTTAAGATGCTGAATTGACTCAAAACTTTATTAAAGTTAAAGAATTTTTGTTTAGCTCATATCTGTGGTAACATAGTATTAGATTAGCTCCATTACTTTAAAAAGTTTACTTGGTTTGTTTATTAAAGCCTGCTTTAAAAACTTGAAAATAAAAAAAATTTAAAAAATAAAAAAAAATACATTTAATATTGTCTGGTCATTCTTCTTCAATAAATTCTCGGTTAACTGTTGTTGAATCCTTAAAATTTAGGGCCGATTGTTTCATTAAACTACTTGAGCCGTGTCTCAGGTAGCCTATCCCATCGGCTCTCATCTAAACAGTAATAAACGGGAACAATGGAGGGAATAAACGGGAATAATGGAGGTGCAACTCGACTGCAGATGTTGGTAATAATTGTTATCTTCCAACTTATATAATAATTGCATTAATTTGAGTGTCACGTCCGTCGCCTCGCCTACAGTGAAAGTACTCATCTAGACGACAGTTAAACCTGCGGGACCATGATATATTAACACAACTCATCTAGAGGACAGTCAAATTTGCGGGACCATAATATATCAACAAAACTCATCACATCTAGAGGGCAGTCAAATTTGCGGGACCATAATATATCAACACAACTCATCAAATCTAGAGGACAGTCAAACCTGCGAGACCATAATATATCAACACAACTCATCACATCTAGAGGACAGTCAAATTTGCGGGACCATAATACATCAACATAACTCATCACATCTAGAGGACAGTTAAACCTGCGGGACCACAATATATTAACACAACTCATCACGTCTAGAGGACAGTTAAACGTATGGGACCACAATATATTAACACAACTCATCACATCTAGAGGACAGTTAAACGTATGGGGCCACAATATATTAACACAACTCATCACATCTAGACGACAGTTAAACCTACGGGACCACAATATATTAACACAACTCATCACATCTAGACGACAGTTAAACCTGCGGGACCACAATATATTAACACAACTCATCACATCTAGACGACAGTTAAACCTACGGGACCACAATATATTAACACAACTCATCACATCTAGACGACAGTTAAACCTGCGGGACCACAATATATTAACACAACTCATCACATCTAGACGACAGTTAAACCTACGGGACCACAATATATTAACACAACTCATCACATCTAGACGACAGTTAAACCTACGGGACCACAATATATTAACACAACTCATCACATCTAGACGACAGTTAAACCTACGGGACCACAATATATTAACACAACTCATCACATCTAGACGACAGTTAAACCTATGGGACCACAATATATTAACACAACTCATCACGTCTAGAGGACAGTTAAACGTATGGGACCACAATATATTAACACAACTCATCACGTCTAGAGGACAGTTAAACGTATGGGACCACAATATATTAACACAACTCATCACATCTAGAGAACAGTTAAACGTATGGGACCACAATATATTAACACAACTCATCACATCTAGAGGACAGTTAAACGTATGGGACCACAATATATTAACACAACTCATCACGTCTAGAGGACAGTTAAACGTATGGGACCACAATATATTAACACAACTCATCACGTCTAGAGGACAGTTAAACGTATGGGACCACAATATATTAACACAACTCATCACATCTAGAGGACAGTTAAACGTATGGGACCACAATATATTAACCCAACTCATCACGTCTAGAGGACAGTTAAACGTATGGGACCACAATATATTAACCCAACTCATCACATCTAGAAGACAGTTAAACCTATGGGACCACAATATATTAACACAACTCATCACATCTAGAGGACAGCCAAACCTATGGGAACATAATATATTAACAAAACTCATAAGGAGGGATACTAAAAATCGATGACTAAATCGAATAAGGGGAGCCCCGAGTTTCCGATCGGCCACCTGATTTCATCTGATCAGGTAGGCATCCTGCGGGTACATCTGGATTCAACGGTCAAACAGCGACCGAGGCGGACTCCAGCGCCCCTTGTCGACATCAAGCACTAAAGCTCTACATTCGTTTTAAAGAGCACCCTCACGAAAGACACGGTGGGCCTCTACACTCGATGGATAAACCGAACCAGTGCTTGCACCCGGCTCCCTGTAGTAGTGTAGCCGGTATTTCCGCGACACCCCTGACCAGAGGCGCAGCGATGGGGGGGGACATATGTCGACCTGAGGGGGCGCCAAAATGGGTTGGAAAAAGTAATCGAAAGTTTGAGGGGGGGTGCAAATCGAAAATTTGAGGGGGGAGGGGTGCAAATCAAAAGTTTGAGGGGGGATGCAAATCAAAAGTTTGTCCCCGGGCGCCGGGAAGAGTCGCTACGCGTCTAAGCGGTAGTGTGGACAAACCCGCGCCCCAGCAATAAATGTCCCGAGAAATATAGCACCAGCGTCGTTATCATCTTAATATCTAAGTTTTAGATAAGAAGGCCTCGCGTCTAAAAACACACAATTGGTAACGCCTTAATGAAACCCTTATAAAATGTATCGTCACTTGGGTATGTAGGACTAGATTTCATCAACGCGTGGCGGGTAAGCTAGTTCCGTATAAAAAATTCTTTATCATTCCGTTGTCATAGGGGAGATGTTGATGTCTATGAGGTTAATTTTTAATCATTGTCCTTCTCATGCTCAGTAAGGTCCGTATTGCATTGTAGTGTTGTGACGTTAAAGCTGTCAGTTGAGAAATGCCATGTGTCCGCTCTGCCGTAGTTTAGTATAAGTAAGAAACTCTGACGTTGGCTGATCGGTTGACGAATTATATGCCCTCGTGGGTTTGGGCGCACCTTTAGCACTACATTTCCCCCCCCCCCCCCCTTCCGGAGCAATTATCCCCCGCCATACTGAAGAAACCTAACCCTTATCCCAAACCTATAGCCCAATATCAATCCTAACACAAACTCTAATTAAATATTTTCCTCCGCCCATTATGAATAACTTTGTGTATTATTACAAGCGTTCTAGTAGTTTAAAACAATATTTATACATGGATGGCTACGTGTGTGTTTTTAACAGAATCCAGTCTGTCACATAGGCCAATTTCAAGTGTAAGTCCACAATTGGTCGCATCCATTGAATAACTTGAAATCGAGAAGGGAAACACCTTTGAATGGTTTTTTGTCTTTGTCTAAATTCAATAGTGTTTATTCGGACAAAAAAAAAATTTAAATTTAATTATTTTTTTAAAAAAATACAGACATTAATTAAAATAGCTTGAATTATCGATTACTAACCAAGGGAGACCATTTGTCGTACAATACACACATCAACTGGAAAATAATACAATGGAAAATTATATTGTTTTAATTAAAATATGCTAAATTGTATTCTTTTATTTAAAAAAAATATACCTAAAACCTCAACAAAAAAAAACAAACTTTTACTTCGTGTTTTTCTACTAAACGAATTGAAAATACAAAAATAAAAACCCTTAAAAGTAATTTATATTTACTCCCTTAAATAATTCAATGGTTGCTATGATATCACAATATAATCTTCTAAAATGGAAATCGAGCATTTGTTTACCTATTATTTAAATTAATATACCAGTATGAGGATTGTTACATATAGCTGTTTCTAAAGGAAGACAATCTGCACTAAGTGGCTCATAGTCTGGCTTTATCGTAAATATCATCAACATAACTTCTATTTTTTTTTTAAATCCCCAAAAAGTTCTAATTCCTGCTATAAATATATAGATCTACCACCGCCCTAAAAAAAAAAATGTTTATATCCCAGGTCCAACTTTTTGGAGGGATACAGTAATTGCCATGTCTGGGGAGAATAGGGACAGATTTTTTTTTTATCAATATTATAATCTGACCTCATGAACATATTAGATACTACAGGCCTAATGAGTTGCAATTTTAGGATGTCATTGATAAACCTCAGTCCTACCAGAAATCAGTATTTCTTTAAGGCATCTTTCCTGGGGGTGTGGGGTTCTGTGCTGGTAGATCAATATAAAACATTTAGTTACAACCATGGTGAATGTGGCCAAGTCATTTATTTATTTAAGCTAAGCTCGAGCTCAAAGCTGTGGTCAGAAGCTGGTCTTTTATTAATTGCAGCTGAACAACTCAAGTCCCAGGAGTAAATAATGGCACTGATTTGCGCTCCAAATAAACTACATGTTTTTTCCCACGTTTTCTTTAACTTGCTTTCTCTGTGTCTTTCTGTGTTTCTGTGTTTGTTTGTCTTTCCAATCCAATCTTGCGATCGAAATTTCTGGCACTTCCCAGTTAGCTAGCGCGCTGAAATTTTCAGGGAAGCTTTGTTTTGGATGACAATTGAATATTCTATTGTTTTTATTACTAAATTAATCCATGGAAACATTTTATTGATCATTTTAGACCACTATATAATTGTACCAAAAAACGTCGGGAAAAAGGGACATTACCCAGTAACTGTAATTTGATGAAAACAAGGTTCGACACTCCCCCTCTTTTTGCTTACTGAGTAGTTGTCACGCTGTGTTTGTGTACAAACAACCATAACCTAACAACTGGTGGCCAGTATGGGGGAGACTATATGGTCGAGTGGTTGGGCACACGATTGCTATCCCACTCGACACGGGTTCAAATCTATGTGTTCTAGTCAGTAACGTATTCACACAACGTGTTTTTTTACGAGTTGTCTTTTTACGAGTTGTCTTTTTACGAGTTATCTTCGTTTACCCAAAAAAAAAAGTGAAAAGATAAAATCGATAGCAAGATTTTAATGCAAACAAACAGACAAAGACTAAAAAGTAGAAAATAATAATCATTAAAAAAGTTTTAAAAAACCCACGTTTTCCGATTGAACTAAAAAGTAGAAAATAAATACTGTACATCACAATAATGCAAGCGATCACTCTACTATAAGCGATCAAAAACGTGGGGCGCCGTGATTTTCTTACAGTTTCTAATAATGTTGACTCTCTACAAGCTCCCTAATAAAAGTCAATAGTATTATCTAATCAATAGTAATATAACTTTTACTTCGGCGCCCCACGTTTTTGATCGCTTATAGTAGAGTGATCGCTTGCATTATTGTGATGTACAGTATTTATTTTCTACTTTTTAGTTCAATCGGAAAACGTGGGTTTTTTAAAACTTTTTTAATGATTATTATTTACTTTCTCGTATATACGAAGTATAGAGAAAGTCTTGTAATCGTGCAAAAAAAAAAAATCGAGATTTTTGCAAATCTCGACGTTTTGCATCTCACTGATACGGAAAAACATAATTTTGCAATCTTGTCCGTATGTCTGTGTGTCTGTGTGTGTGTGTGTCTGTGTGTGTGTGTGTCCGTGTGTAAACACGATAACTTGAGTACCGTTACAGCTAGGTTGATGAAATTTCATATATAAGTATTTAATCAAAATCGTAGATCCGTATCAACTTTTGAGCGATTTCCGATAACCGGAAGTGGTACTTTTCCTACTTTGAATTTTTCAAAAGCCTATAACTTGAGTACTATTTCAGATAGATAAATGAAATTTCATACGTAAGTAAAAGATCTAATTCTCTACCTTCTATTAAATTTTGAGTCATTTCCGTTGACTGGAAGTAGTACTTTACGCTACTTCCGATTTCTCAAAAAACTAATGTAAATTTTAAAAGTAATAATAATATTGCGCACTATTATGCGCTTTTTTATTTCACGTTCACTTGGTGTGCAATTAATTTGTCTACGAGATTTTATTCTATTTTCCCACGTTTTCTTTAACTTGCTTTCTCTGTGTGTTTATTTGTTTGTCTTTCCAATCAAATCTTGCGATCGAAATTTCTGGCACTTCCCAGTTAGCTAGCGCGCTGAAATTTTCAGGGAAGCTTTCTTTTGGATGACCATTGAATATTCAATTGTTATTATTACTAAATTGATCAATGGAAACATTTTATTGAGCATTTTAGACCGCTATATAATCTATATATATAATTCTCCTCTGCTAGCCATTAGAAAAAAAACCAGCGACGCGTACCTCGCGCGCAGTGAAGCGAACGATCACATGTCGCCACAGGCTTAGGGGCAGAGAATTTAGCTTGAACCGAGTTTAAACTTACAGGAGGTAGGCCAGTTTGGGGGAGACGATATGGTCGAGTGGTTGGGCACACGATTGCTATCCCACTCGACACGGGTTCAAATCTATGTGTTCTAGTCAGTAACGTATTCAAACAACGTGTTTTTTACGAGTTGTCTTTTTACGAGTTGTCTTTTTACGAGTTGTCTTTTTACGAGTTGTCTTTTTACGAGTTGTCTTCGTTTACCCAAAAAAAGTGAAAAGATAAAATCGATAGCAAGATTTTAATGCAAACAAACAGACAAAGACTAAAAAGTAGAAAATAATAATCATTAAAAAAGTTTTAAAAAACCCACGTTTTCTGATTGAACTAAAAAGTAGAAAATAAATGCTATAGGCCCTACATCACAATAATGCAAGCGATCACTCTACTATAAGCGAGCAAAAACGTGGGGCGCCGTGATTTTCTTACAGTTTCTAATACTGTTGACTCTCTACAAGCTCCCTAATAAAAGTCAATAGTATTATCTAATCAATAGTAATATAACTTTTACTTCGGCGCCCCACGTTTTTCATCGCTTATAGTAGAGTGATCGCTTGCATTATTGTGATGTAGGGCCTATAGCATTTATTTTCTACTTTTTAGTTCAATCAGAAAACGTGGGTTTTTTAAAACTTTTTTAATGATTATTATTTTAAAACTTTAAGTATTTAAAATGGATTAAAAATCATGTCTATAGCCCGAGTTCCCATCCCCTGTTATTTTATATAAGAATATTCGAGAAAGTTTAGGGGAGATCACTCCCGGTTTATTTTAATTTTAAACTCTTAAATTAATGTATTTCTCTAAATAAATAAAAAAAATAAACCACAAAGTTTTAAAATGCAACAAATAGTTGATTTATTATCTTTCTATCAACAAGCTTCTCTGTAGTATAAGTAGTCTACATCAATGCGGCAAAAGCTTTAATACTTTGCATAAGATCATGGTTTCATTCAAGAGATCAGGCATGCTAGATGTCGTCTTCTGCACATCCATTCAAATAACGACTCTAGTTTTTTTCACAAATCTTTTCAGAGGACAAGTCACAAAAATATGCAGAAAGAACAAGTTACTCTAAGCTAAAGAAGAAAAACCTTCACGTTCAATCTTTCAATGACAACAAATAGCCAATATAATAAACAAGTTCAAAGTCAAGGATTTGTTATAGTGTACCCATTAACCATCACACAAAAAACATCTATTTTAAATTGAAATTGTGTGCCCATGACACAAGCACAACAGTTTTTAGCTTCTTTTTAATCAAAAAGAGAAAAAATTAGATTTTCCTTGAAGCTTATCTCACCACAACACATATTTTAATGTAACTTTGTTAGCATGTACAAATTATGGGTTGAAAAAAAATAATTCCAAACTGAAATACTTGACAGTGGTTTTTTTTGGACTAGATGTTAAAACAGCATATTAATTATCTTGGCTAGACAAGAAACAGTCACTCCCAAACCAAACTAATTTCCTGTAAAGTTAACACACCGGTACCCATCTCATTCACACCAGAACTATATGATCCACATAAAAAGTCTGAGCTTTTCCCTTTGAGGTAAATGGATGGCAAGACACAGTTCATCCATCTCATGATGAAACACACCCCACCCCACTGTGTGATACAGCACAACCCACCCATGTATGATGAGACACAATCCACCTCTCTGTGATAACACCATGATGACACCATCCCCCCCATGTTTGTACACCACTACTCTGAAGCTTGCACCATCTTGAAACAACACAGCAGTACATTTGCATATTAAAATGCCATGGAATACATGCTTTTAAAACAACTGCTGATTAGCAGTAAAAAAGATTTCCAGTGTCCATAAAAAAAAATGTCGTCATCGTGTTAAGGCTGTAAGTGACTGGAGAGTAATCCACCCTGCTCGTTAACTACATGCTCCTATTATAAGTTTGTGGTTATGTAGCAGTTGATTATTCATCATATAAAATGGACTATGGTAATATTTTTCCAAGAAACCTTGTTTAAAAAAAAATATTTTTTTAAAAAAGGTATTTTAGAAATAAGTAAATCACAAGCTGTATAAATAATTAATCACGCTACTTTTTTCATCAGACATTGTTAGTGGTACTTTATTTCTTATAATGAATTAAATATATTTCAAAATCTGTAATTCTGTTTGTTATTTATTTAGAAAAAAAAACTACAATAAATAAACAATAGCCCTAAAATAAGCCAACTTGCTGAACAGGGTGAGCTACACTTCAGCGTAATGCAATTTTTTATCCATTGGTCTGATTTAAGTCAAGACCACTATCACATATACAGTGATATTGTTTTTTGTTAAAACCATATTATACACATAAATTTAAAAAAAAAAAAGAACTTAGTCAATGACTTGGGTGTACCAAGATTGTCACCAATCCTGCTCACATAGATTCAACTCACTTCTAACTTATCCACATGAGGATATAAAGAAAAAAAAAATTAGTTAAATAAATATACTGCGTGTGGAAGCCACATAAAAAAAAGTTCACAAATTTAATGCTATAGAACAACCAATAAAAATACAATTTTTAAAAAATAAATTAATCCTATAAGTAATTCATATTTTCAATGACCCTGGATTTAATTACACAGCAGAAGTTATGTAAAACGTAATGAAAGAGAAGCAGTTCTAGTATATAATGGGAAAAAAAAATGGAATTTAAAATAAATAAACATTAAAACAGAACAAAATTCAGCCACAAGAATTATTTGTGGCAGACAGGTCAAACTTTTTTTTTTATATTTACTGATTGTACATATAAAGGCATCAATGATAATTAAAAGCAACTCTTCAGGAAAAAAATGTACATGCATTCTTGATAATACACAGACAAGTGGAGGTAAGGACAAAAAAAATGAGTTACAGAGGGAAAATCAATAGTTAATCAGCACTTAACATTTGGTTCCTTCTTTAACTTTTTGGTTGTCGTATACATAAGCCCATGTATATTTTCTTGTATTTTTCTTTTTTTTTTTTAATATTGCTATACCCAGGGAATAGCAAGGAGCCTTTTTATTTATTTTTCTTTTTTTTTAAATAATTTTTTATTTTAGTGAAAAGACTAGTGTTCAATTTCTATAACAAAGTGACGGTTTAGAAATTAAACACTTGTCAATTGCAAAACATTCAAATTACAAAGTGTATACCAGAGAAAAAAATCTGAGCAAGATGTAGCAAGTGCTTCCTTAGACTTGTGTACTTTAACAATTGACATCAAGCTTTCTTTAGGGTATACACTTGTTATTTTTCTGTTTCTACATAATCACATTTCACCATACATTCATCAAGAAACTTAAAATTATACACTTTCAAAACACACACACACACTGCACATCAAACTGCTATGAATAAATAACATAATTTAAACAATGAACTAGTTTTTGTTATTTTTTTTTAACAAAAATTAAATGAAATGCTTTAAGCATAGTGAACTTGTAATTTAGATGAGATATAGCTAAATTTAAAGTTGTATCTCATTAACTTGTCTTAAAGAAAATCTGAGATGGGTAACTGTTATTTCAACCTCATAGCATAGCTACATTTGTTGTCACGAATGAAAGACATTTTTTATTACAAATTATTTGTATCATTTATGCTGTTTGTTTCCACAGAAGAAATACACTGTATTGTATTTACATACTTTACAATAGAAAGCAGACAAATCAAGATCTGGACATTCACAAGGTTTCAGATTCAGCAGTTCATTGAAAATCTCTAAGTAATGCCATTAACCATGAATTTTCAGACAGATTACAGCTTTACCTTACATTTTTAAGAGTATTTGCAATTAGTAGTTTCAAAGACAAACCTGCTTCATACAGAGCCTATCTCAGCACCAAGTGACACTTGTTTCAAATAGTAAAACTAGTCTTAAATTTTGATTGATTTTCTCTTTGTAATCAATATATAACAGCATATTAGCAGGTATTCGATGAATATGTTAGAACTTTCTTTAATTAATACTATTAAAAATGTTTTTATGGAACTTATGGAAAATGTGTTTCAAAGTTCTGATGAAATCTTAACAGAAGCAATTCATTTTTCATATGTGAAAGCTTTTGAGTAATTAATAAGAGAATAACTGGAATGATTTTGTTTTATTAAACTGGAATTTAAACGTTTCTTTAAAAAAAGGGGAGGTCTAAATTGACACAGATTCCTTGTTAAAACTCATACTCACAAATAAATGCTTTTACAATGGATTGCATAAGAATCTCTAAATGTTATTAGACAAAGTGAACATATGGTTCATAAAAATAATGTCAATACTGAAGCTACAAGTTTACATATAGGAAGCATCAATTAAGAGTTCTTAGTCAACTGGTTGTAATCTTTAAATTCAAAGTCATGCAGGGAAAAAAAATACATTCAAGAATGATCTTAAAGTCTGGAAGAAATGGTGTGGTGTTCTTTTATGATAGTGATATGACAAAATCAAAAACCCTTTCAAATCACATGTCTAACATAGGTTAGAAGACTAGAGTATAAATGTTTATCATCCTAACTAATCCAGCATCACAGGCCTATAGTTTATAAATATTATAAATTATTCTTATCCTAGTGACTACTCAAGGCCACTAAGCTTTTGTTGCACCTTCGTTTAAAAAGATCACATTTCCTACAATGGGTAAGTCTTTCAGCGAGTCTTAATTTTACAAAAAAAAATGTATTGTGACACTCAAAAATTTCTTTCAAAAATAAAATATTGTACCCAGGCATCATTCTCTTGTATGTGTATTTTAGTAGCTCTAATATCAAACCATTTAATTTAAATAAAGATTTGATGAAAAATGGATCATTTTAAAAAAAACTAGCACTGTGCCGAGCTGGAGGAATCAGACACGTTCTCAAAGAAACAAAAATCCTTACAATATGTACAATATAAACAGACTAAATTTACTCTTCTTAAATAATACATGTTTACATAAGAGCTTTGATTTTAAAAGTGCCTTCTTTAAATTAATTAAATTAATACAGTACTTTTTAATCTCAAGAACATTATTTGGCTATTGCAGCAAGTTATTAACATTCAGAAACTTATTGTCTAGTAAATTATTTAACTCAGTATCATAGACATGTATATTCTACATTACGATTCAAATTATTTTCAACGCATAAAAATCATTTATTTGAATTCTAACAGGTCAAAAATTATGCTATTACAAATTCTAAATTTTTTGTTAAAATTTAAACAATAAGAAACTATATAAAATGTCAGGATTGTATGAAAGAGAAAAAAGGAATGTAACAAAGCGTATGCAATGCCAAACAGGAAGGAAGTGTCAATGCAGATACAATATACATCTCTTGAGTAAAGAAATGGTACAATAATTAAAACTATTGCCAAGTACAAATTTGAGCATTAAAACCGCATTCTCAGTACCATTTATGAGGAATTTAAAGAGGCGGCAACCTTTGAAATGACATTATCACAGAGCAATTGGTTTATTTTGAAGAAGATACAAATCATTTGTTAGTTCTTATCATCTGTACACTTAAACATGTCAAATTGTCTTTTTAACAGTTATTAACAGTTTCAGAATAATAACATGCACGTGGAAAAATAACAGATCTTCTGGAATCATTATATTAAACAAGGGTTTATAAATATATTTTATTTTGCTGTGAAATTTTGAATCAGTCAGGCCCTAGAAGAAAATATTAGTTTACTTGCCTACATGCAACCTTTATTCAAGAAAAAGTAATGAGCGAATTATTTAAATTTATTTTTCAACTAAATGCTTTATAACAAGAAAAACGATAATCTTTGAAATGAGTTATGATGAAAAAATGTATAGAAATGTTAAACAGATCAACAGCAGTATCAGTTCTTTACGGTTAAACAAATAATCTAAAAATATTAACATTGGCCTAGAGGTGAAGACATTTTCCAATTCTTTACAAAAACTAACAATGAAATGGACTTAATTTCAAAAGCTGTGTCTATCTTAGAATAAATGAATCAGCAGAACTAAGTGAAGAAAAAAAATCACAGCTTCAGGTAGATATGTCAAACTGGAAGAAGAGGTGTATGTAGAGACCTCACTAAACAAAACTAAAGTATATGAAACAAAAGTTACACCTTACAGTTATTTTTCTAAAGGTCACTTGTAGGCAGGTGAAGCAAGTCATAAATAACATAAGAGAAGATCCAATATCAGGTCATGATGTGAAGTCCAAAAGTTCATATTTTAAACTGTTAGCTGCAAGTCTGTAACCGTTGATCATATTCCAGAATAAGTCGTTTAATGTGGCCCAATTTTTGATGTAGATAGTCCATTCGCTGTTTCTTTTCCATGAACTTAGGGTCAGATTTTTGAGCTTCATATTCCTCCAAAATTTGTTTTTTAAGTACCTGAATAATGGAATGATTTTTTTAAAAATCTTGATACACTAAATCTAAATGTTTTCATTTCTAAGATCAATGATAAACTTATTCCTGCCAGAAGACAAAAATTATTCCCCTTTGAGGTTACACCATATGCACCTTGATACACAAACCCATAATTTCTGTAGGCCTACAAACAATAACCATATGACACATTTAAAATTTTGCCTCAAGTATTTCTACCAATTGAGGGAAATGGTTAGAATAAAGAAGTAAAGGTACTAAAGGTAAATGTGTTAAAGCCTACATTTATATTTAAAAAGACCTTACTTCAAAATCAGGTGTTCCTTCTTCAGTCTGGTTTATTTGAGAACGCAGATTTTGAAATTTGCAAGCCACTATATCAACTTGTTTATGAAGCTCTCTGTATTCTGTATACTCCTTATTGAATTCATGTTTATACTGTTGCCGTTGTTCTCCATCTTCTATGTCAATAAATTTACTGCGGATCAAAGAAAAAGGAGATTAAATATAAACATACACAAAAAGTAATTTAACAATACATAATTTAATTAATTGTGTAGTTCAAATAATACAAAACATGCAGCATACAACTCTTAAATCTTACCTAATATAATCAGGTTTTTCACAGTTCATTTCTTCAGCAGTACCTTTAAAAAGTTTTAACAAACCGTTATTGATATGTATTGAAAATGTTTGATTTCCAAAATATAAGGTGCTTTAAATATTAACTTAGAGCAGTCCAAAAACATTTTTTACCCTCAAAATTCTCTATATTTGCAGTTGGAGAAGATTGTTGATTGAGGGTTGGTTTGACTACACTAACTGGCTTCTCTTCATTCTGACGTCTGTCTGTATGGGCTATTCTCTTTTTCTTATTGGGATTTGCTGCTGCTTCCTCATTCTCTTCTGCTGCTCTTTTCTGGAATTAAAAAATTAATTTAAACTAAAATTAAATACAATGTAAAGTAAAAACATGTTATGAATTACAAACACTTGTAGAAATACTGTTCATGATAAGATTAAAATAATTTTATTTAAATTAAAATAGTTAATTATACAAATATTTCAAGAAAAAAGCGAATGATACCAATAAAATGTAATAATAATAGTTTTGAAATAAGATTATTATAAACCTTCAATGGCAAATTTTAAAAAGAGCTAAAACCTGTGAATTCCCAGGACTCTCTGGGTTACTGCTAGCTGGGGACACTGCTGGAGATGTAGGAGCTGCACGACTTTCTAATTGCAAATTCCTATAAAATACATGGTAATTGACCTATCAGTCCTGCTACTTAGCTATAAATGTTATGTTTTAAACAAGTGGCTAATCTGTAGTAATACTTATCAAACTGTCTAGCCTTACTTTTTAAGTAATATTTTGTCCTGCTCAGAATAGAATGGCCAGTCCTGTCTTACATCAGCCCAACCAGCTCTGGATAATGTATAGCTGTTATCTCTATTTAATGTGGCAACTTGTTGTAAGACACTTCCAAGAGAGTTTTTGTCTTTCTCACGGATACCATCTTAACAGAAAATAAATTTACTTGGTAAAAAGGGAATTTTTTATTAAATCATAAACTTTAATAAACAACAAAAATATTCTGTTGATTTTTATTTCATCATCCAAAAAAAAGTAATGAACATTACAAGATTAAAAAAAAACTAAATACAAAACAAAAAAATATGAAATACAATGATAAAAAATTTACATTAGCTTGGAAAGATAGATTTAACTCATTAGCTACTGAAGTCTATTTCAGATACCTTCCCTAGAAACTCAACAAAGAGAGTCAAACCCTCCCCAACAAATTTTTATTTGAAATTATTAAAAATTTGTTATTAAAAATTAGAAAATGTGCTTGACAAAGGAAAGTTAAAGATGATCCCAGTCTTCCTTGGAATACCATAGTAACATTACTAATATTTTTTTTGAATATGACACTACAACAGAGTCCAGTTTTTAATTCTAAAAGCTTTAATATTAACTAACTTAATATAGAATTTATTCAATTACCAGATTCTTTCAAATAAATTTAAAAAACCTATGATAATGCAGGAGTGACAGTTTACATAAAACCAAGCGTAAAATTTGTCCGAAACTCAATGTAGGGTAAAAAAATTTTTTAAAGTTAATGATACCAATATCATGACATGATGGGGTGCAGGGCAGTAAAGGTGGCCAGGCCATGTCAAATTAGTAGCGACAGGGTTGCATTAATAACAAATGACTTAAAGCTTTCAAATCTCTCAACCAAATCCCAGTAAATTATAAGTAAATGATGAAGTTAATATCAGATTACTAGGGCTAAATGCTTACCTTTCTGAAGTCTTAAAATCAGTTCCGGCTTCTTGTATGGCTTAAGTGCAAGTAAATGAATGATCCGATCCCTGAGAGATTAACAATAGAAAAATAAATGATATTTTTTAATCATGGCATAAAATAAATATTTGACTTCAACTGTACTATCTTTATTTATCTAATGATTGTGGTGAGGCTTGAACTTGCATAGTTTAATTATCATTAAAAAAAATGCCTTTTTATAGCTTCTAAATTTTTTTAATTTTATATGAAATTACAAGTTAGTGATCAATTTGTGATACAAGTCAATACACAACACACTACAGAGAAAGCTTGAAGAAATCAGAACCCTTGCAAAGCAAAGAGACTGGCACATTGCAAACATATGACTAATAACTGAGTTTTCTGTCCTTTAAGACCACAACAAATAAAGTATACGAGCCGACCCGCTGCGTATAATACGCCGCTATTTAATTGTTTTTTTTCTACTTTTTCAGTAATTCATAATTTGTGAATTCGAAACACTAACCCCCCCCCCCCCTTTCCCCCAAAACACCCCCCCCCCCCCGTGAAAGCAGCCTCCTCTTAAATACCTCCTCTAAGTTTAAAATCATTTCAAACTAAATTATCTGCCCCTAATAGCCGTCACTAAACCCGACTCCAGGAATGTAAACATAGCGTGAACAACAGCTCACCATACCATGTAGGGGTGGGGTGGTAGGGAGCGCGCTTACAGCTTGTTTTCTAGCGTCTCCCAGAAGAGAATTATAAAGTATATTTTACAGGTACTGCATCTAAAAATGTTTCATCTTAATACTAAATGTATTATAATACATGATTTATTACCTGTATGGCATGTTTCCAGCACCAGAAGTCTGTTTTGTGGCAGATGATGTCATCAAAACTCTGGACTGACTACTAGAGGATGTCTTGGAAGCAAGTACACCAAAACTAGGAGAGATGGACTGCCTCTGGCCATGACTCGATGCTGAGCCACTTAAAGCAGGTAAGTTAGGGCTGATTGTCGAACTGGCTAGAGGCAATGATGATGATGATGATGTATGTCCAAGAGAATGACGATTTGTTCCATTGATGGAAGCTGTAGGTTTGGATACAGTACTGGGCTTTTGCACTGGCAGTGGGAGTTTCAGACTCCCAGGTGGCAAAACTTTCTTCACTCTTTTGCTAATATGACGACCACTTGGTTTTATTTCTTTAGTGCTAAAAATAATAAAACCTAAATATTAAAACTAAAAATATGATAAATGCGCACTGATTTATGCATCATGAAAATTATGTTAACATTAATCATTACAGATAAATTACAAGAAAAAATAACTTAAAAACAAATAATGAAAAGTGCATGTTTACAGGGAACATATCAAAATAAACTGACCAAACTTTTTTACTCTCCTCTTCTGCCATTGTCATCTTTGCTCTAGTGCGATCATAAACATCATCAGTGGCATGCACAGAGACTTTATGCTGCATTGTGCCAAGGCTGAATAGGTTACTGCAACATAAATTTAAAGCATTTATGCAATTGAAAAAAAAACAACAATACTCTAACAGCTATGAGACTTAAGTTAATATATTACTTTGATGTCTGCTGAATACAATCAAAACTGCCATTGGGATCCCCAGGTAATGCTGACATTGATATTTGAAATGCACGCTCAGGTTGGTTGCCATGGCTTGGGATTTTTATTATCTGACAAATTAAATACATTTAAAATTTAATCTGTGAAATATAATAGAAACATTCATGGCTGTTGATATGAATGATAACATAAATGTTATTATTAAATCAGTGGTGTGAAAGTATGACAGTAATATTTAAGGAAGCAAATATTTTGCATTTATGCCTGGACAAATGTAGCAATAGAAAAAATAATAAATATAAAAAACTCACCCCTGTGTTATTCTGAAACTGTATTGTTGCTTTACCACTCTGTGTAAATAAAACGGATACATTTTGATAAACATTAGATAGACTTGTATTTTATTGGGATAAAAACTATACAACTGGTTACTTATTGTTTAAAAAATCCACAAATTGAGATACCAATTTAAGGTTATGCTAATTTAACATTATGAAATTATATACAACTATCATAACTAACACTTTATCACATAATTTTACGAGCATTAACAAAAAAAAACATCACTACCCTATACTCATTAAATTTTAAATAAAATAATATTTTGCCTGAATATATACCCCACACAAAGTACATCTATAATTTGTTAAAAGCACCCAATTTAAATCCAAACTCAGCACGCATTATTACTGCTTTTTAACTGTAAAACATGTCCCACTGGAAGGGTTTCTATACTCTACGGTGTCAAAATCCTCAAATGATCTGATAGGCCTACTTGATTTGTTAATGGACAATAAATATGAGCATATTATTTGGCAGCAGTGTGTAAATGACCACGACCAAATAATAATAAAAGTTGCGAGTTTTTATTTTGATATCTTAAATAAGATTTCCAAATGTTCATCAGGTAGGCCTAAAGTTAAATTTTATAAGAATGATGACAGCTTAAAAGTTACAAATCTTTTTTTCAGGCTACTGCTATAGATCTACCTATATTTTTGTTCTGAAGTAATATTTCAATAGGCCTATACAATAGACTTATGCATATTTTAATTTTACAGTAAATTATAGGACATAGGCCCTAGCTTTTAAAAAAACATTTTTAAAACGTGGCCGATTAGGCCCTAATAATAAAACGAACAAAAAAAATCATTCCAACAAAATTTAACACAAGAAACTAATACAAAAATCAAGCTGCTTAGGCCTAACTAACATCTAAATTTTGTTTAATCAGCATGCTTAAGATGTAGGCCTACAAGTGCAGTTTCTAGCATCACATGAAATAAGCTATAGGGCCTAGGCCTAAGCTTTTTTAAATCGATAAGATCAATCTTTTTTGCTAATTTTGTTTAGGTCATTTAGTTTTAACTAATAGGGTAAAGAATAAGTTAAAAAATAATTTCAGAAAAAAAAGGACTGACTGGGTCACTCGTCTATTGGAAAAAATCAGATCTATCTAAATGTCAAACTCTAAACTCTAATGTCTAGATCTAGCTAGATTCTAGATAGAACAGATTAGATATCACTCAAAATTGAGAATGAGATAGATCTAGCTAGATTCTAGATTAGATATGTATTTAGATGTAGACATCTAGATCTAGATCTCTTGAATCGAGGCCCTCAAGTGCCTCAACCAAAATGATTGAATATCAAAGGCCCAAAATAAAAGTATTACAAAATCAAGCCAAATGATAATTGGATCAAATCTCTAGATTCTAGATTAGTTCTAGAATCTAGATCTAGACAAGAGTCTAGTCTAGACTGGAGAATTTGAGTTTTATTCACTGTCACAGATGACTGTCAGAAAAACTAGATTCTTGTCTAGTAGGGTTGTCGGCATCGGCCGAGTTCGCGGTAAAAACATGACCCGAAATCGCCCATTACTTTCTGATACCGGACCCACGAGATTTGGTTTTGCATACTAATAAGTTTTTAATTTATGGTAATTAATTAAGTTTAAAAGGTCATTTCCTAAGGTTAATTAAAAAGAAGAGTGGTTATCCCTTAGTTTTAATGGCTTTGCGACCTGATTGCATGCTGTCTCTGCTTTGGTCTTCCCTCTGTATCAAGGTTAGTTTCAAATACGTTGGAATCTCGATTTTTTAAAAGATTCCTCTAGATGAGAGTAGATTACTGATCAGACATATCTTAAGTAATTGGAAATGAAATTTGTTTTTGGATATTTTGACTCCGACATTAGTTATACCCCTCCGAACGTAGTCACTGTATGTAGGTCACGCTGCCACCATTGTTATATTTTTTCATCCCGATCTTCCTGCCTTTAAGTTTGATCAACTAATAACAGCATTCTTATGGCATGTGCAAACAAATCTAATTTTTTATTTCAAAATATATTTACATACCCGCTTTTATTTTTTCAGCTCTAGTTCTAGTTTTGCAGAACATGTTTTTCCTAAAAATCCAATTTTGTCAGACTAGACTCTAGACTGACGAGAGTCAGACCTAGATCTAGGTTACCTGTCTGTTGCTATACACTAGCAATGTGCTAACTGTAATTTTAAGTATTCAAGTTCTACTTACCCTTAGATATAGTTATATGCTGAAAATCAGAATCCATACACAATTCACACATAAAAACATTGATCTGATAACTTCATTTCACTTATTACAAAATGGCTTTTATATGGACTCTACTTCACCTGCCCAAAATAACAAGGCAGTTATAGACACATTACAGTGTTCAAGTCATTTACTTTAGATTTCTGACTATGGATTTCTTTCATTCACTGTATTTATATAAAATATGGCTTTAGAAACATTTTCATATTTGCGCAGCACACAGTGTTTTGGGGTTATGGGAGGAAGCCAACACAAAAATATAAGTTCTGTATTATTTTTATTAATTTCAACAGCATTTACAAGTTCTATATATCATTCTAGTTAAACTCTGCAAATATGAACAAAATACAACTGCAAGTAAAATAACTATGCTCAATTTATTCAGGTATACCATGACTTGTCACAATTGGCCAATGCTAAAGCAAGGGGATTCCACCCCTCACAAAAAAATTTGCCAAAAAAAAACTATTTGAGCTAGACAAAAAATCTTTTTTGTTTTGTTTTCATTTTGTTGAGCTCTACAAGAATATGTAATTTTTATTTTTATATGATGATTAGTGTTTTTTTACCTAAATCCCTATTGTCTAGAGATCTAAATTTCTAGTTCTAGATCTAGATTTTTTTAATATTTAAAAATCTAAACTAGCATTCATAATTAGAAGTTGGGCCTAAATCTATACATCTAGATCTAGATGTCTACTCAAGATAGTCTCGCGTTTAGATCTATTCTAGAATATACCTGAATCAACAATCAGCGAAATAAGTTAGTTCCAACTGGGGCTTGGCTTATGTCACCAAATGTTGGTAATTTTAAGTACTAATATTTGAGAAAAAATTAGTTACCTTAATTTTATAAAAATTCTCTAATGTTTTCAAAGCCGTATCTGTCAATTTAAAATGAACTACTGTTTTATTTCCCTCAGACAAAGCATTTGAAGCTAGACCATATTCCCGTCCGTCTACCAGTGTCGCCATTTTGGTCCTGCTCGACGGCCTTAGGTACCAGCAGTTACCAGGTCGTACGAAGATGGAAGCATTTGCATGCAAATACACAATTCCACAACAATTATACTCTGCAGGAGCCAATTGAATTTTAGAAAAGTATATAGATCTAGATCTAGATCTATTATAGCATACTTATGTTTTAATAGTATATGTATAATTTTAAAACTGTCATATACTGGGAAGAAGTAGATAAATAAAGAGTAAAAAAAAAACCTTGTTAACATGAGGTTTAAAAACAATTATATTGCAACCATTTAATATTGAAAAAAACACAGTTTTATCTTATGAAATGTGTATTAATAGAAATTCACACGTTTCATCTGCAAAAACGACTAGAGCGCATAATGTTTACTTTTTAATTAGCAATAAACAAAATGCTTTCAACATTACAAACTGGCAGATAAGACCAAGCCTAAAACTAAAACTAACTTAAGACCCCCATCAACATCAGCTGATTTACTTGGCTATGTTTGTTTATGTATTTTATTTTAGCCTTTTGATAATTACTACATGATATAAAGACCTATTACAATATTTATTCAGTTTATTTTAGAATATTTTAATATTAGAAGTAATTCCGCATTATGATAGAAATTGAAATACTTTTTCGAAAACTAACTTTAAAGCCCAATCTGTAGGCCTCTTTGGCCAGCACGTTTAAATATTTGCAAGTAGATTTAGATATTGATAGATCTGTATGTCCTAAACGCTATTTCAGTACCTTTATTCCACCCAAATGTGTTTTGAATTTCATCGATAATGCTATTTTTCAAATTGTGTATTAAGTTCTAAAGACTGCCCATTTGATAATGTATAATGCCAAAAGTAGGCCTGCTATTGCGCATTCATTTTCCCTTAAATTAAAATGGTTGACTTTTTTTGTAATAACTTTTTAAATAAGCCTACTGGTAGTTTCAGTGTTGACCATAAGGTATATTGCTAATCTTACCCCCTTTTTTTCAAGATATCAAGTTCTTCGGGTGGTCGAGGCTTAAATGGCCAACGATAATCGGGTTCATGCTACTCATGTGTGTTGTCGATACTTAATGTTTGTATTGTTAGACCTAAAATCTACCATAGAAATTCAACAGAGTAAGCCTAACAAGTAGCCCAATTACTGGTCTTAAAGAGGATGAAAATCGAGAAATCTTCTGGCTGTGTTGAGTGTAGTATATTTAAACGTACACAAAAAAAACGACATTGATATCGGCTGGGGAATCGACCACATGTTATACAACTTCACACCACAAGTGACAAATCGCACGAAAAGAATGAACTGATGCGTCCTTAAAATCGATAGTGGCAACATGTTTTTTTTTTTTTTTTTTTTTTTTTTTTTTTTTTTTTTTTTTTTGTGTAGCAAGCTGGGATTTCAGTAGTAGATGTGCAAATAACGTAGCCGGTGCTTAGTTTATCAGACTGATCAGAGGTCTCAAATTTATGGAATAGTTGAACGTGCCATGGACAATATTAACTGGTAAAAACTAATTAATTCAGCTCAAACCACTACTTCAATTGCTCAAAAACCCAAACTGATGCCCTAATGATTTTGTTACTACCAATGACTGAGCTTCTTTGGGGCCATCAAAAATTTCCCTCAATCCCCCCCCCCCCCCCCATACACAATTTTTTACGAAAATCCAGACCTCCATCCGCTCTTTATAATGGCATCACAACTTTCCACTCTATCACAATAAAAACAATGTTTATTTTATACATTTTTTCTCCGGAGGGACGGGGGTAGACACAAGAAAGTACTAATTCCATATTTTTTTAAAAAATCTATTCTTCCCCCCCCCCCTCCTCCTTCCGAAGATATACCTGAAAGAAACTTTGCCCTAAAATAAGCATACAATAAGGACACAGGTAATGTAGGCATCGTCTCATTTTCTTGAATGTACACACTTTCGCACTGTTCCTAATGTGCATTTAAACCAATGGATGCCGCATGGGAAATTTTGACAAAGAAGGCCAAGGGAGACGTGGAGACGCATCGCAGAAAAATAACTGACATGAGCAGGACCAACTTGGGTAACTGCCAAGAAAGTTGCCAGAGACCGACAGAAGTAGTAAGAACTTTCTTTGGCGGCCATCATGGGCACTAAAGGAAAAAGATGCATTTTTATCAACGTCACGGGCCCCAAACTATAAGACTCTAAGTGGGCAAGTTATTAGGGAAGTGCGATATTAAATAAAACGCATTATTAATTTAGGGTTTAGTTTATACATTCATAATTTTGGGAAATGTCCACTCGTGTGAATGAAGTGAATGTTAAGAAGAAAAGAAAGTAGATCGACCATCTGGCTCAGACATTGCTGCATCCCCCTGTTACAGAACAGTTTCTGCGGGGCTATTGTGTCGTATGTAAATTGAACAAGCAGTAGCAACAGTCGTGTAGGAAAAGTGGGAGGGAGGGGGTATGGGGTTTGATGGATGTGGTATATAAGATTAGATGGCAGTGAGTATATTCTGTAAAGTTATAAAAGCGATATTGGCAGAGGCGTAGCGACCCCTCCCGGCGCCCGGGGCGATCTTTCAGTTTGGCGCCCCCCCATATATATATATATATATATATATATATATATATGCGTGTGTGTTTGTGTATGCGACAGTCTGGAAAAAAATTAACAAATACGCTAATTGTCGTTCCCTAAAACTTCACTGGACGCCAATTAAATTCCCCTTAAGATGCCGAAACGAATAAAAAGTAGAAAATCAAAAGAGCTTAGAACAGTGGTCTCCATCGAACCCGAGAGGTTAGGTAATTCAGTCTCAGGGCTTCCGCGGAGGTCAAGACACACACCCTACTCATATGATTCACGATCGGATTTTGTCATTGTGGACGATACAACTATTAAGGAGGGTTCGGTGATTGCGCATATGAAACTGGTGGGGTTCGGTATTCCAAAAATTTAAGAACCACTGCTTTAGAGTGTATTTTGTAGAAGGTGCAAGCCTTATTTGGTTTACTTTTGGTCGTGTCTTTAGAACAATTTCGATAATAGTAGGCCAATATTGCAATTTTGAATTATCAGTTAGGTTGAACAAAGTAATAATCAGTACAATATACTAATTTTCTTCTCTCTTAAAATGTTGGCAAAGAGTGTCGCTTCCCATCCACCCGCTCCGTCAGTCTGCTATTTTACTGATAGGATAGCGATACAAGAATCCGTTATATTCATTTCTCTTTAATGCAGTGATCCAGGCAAGATGTAATGCAATCAAGTAAAGTATCTGATCTATCACGATCAAGTTGGGAGAATCGTAAGAATCGTACAAAGAACTAGTCGCGTTATTACTTAGCAAAACTGGGTAGTGAAATCGTACATTAAGTGTTAATACAATTGATTTCTTTTCTAAGTGTTAAAAGAGTTATCTAGCAACCGATCCAGTACAAATCCTGCGGTTTTTGTTAGTGAAAAAGCGCCCCACCATCTTGGACAAAAATGGTAGAGCGGATTTTAAACGCCACTAACTCTTTTACTTTCTCGTATATACGAAGTATAGAGAAAGTATTGTAATCGTGCACAAAAATCACTTGAAATTTTAACAATTTTCACCGTATTACACCTCAGTCCTTCATCACATCCGAAGTATAGAGGACTTATTTTAATCGGGCAAAAATTATCAATCCAGATTTATCAAAATTAAGAGGTTTTATGCGTAATCCAGTCTGAAAAACTGGGCTTTGCAATTCTGTCCGTATGTCTGTGTGTCTGTGTGTGTGTGTGTCCGTGTGTAAACACGATAACTTGAGTACCGTTACAGCTAGGTTGATGAAATTTCATATATAAGTATTTTATCAAAATCTTAGATCCGTATCAACTTTTGAGCGATTTCCGATAACCGGAAGTGGTACTTTTTCTACTTTGAAGTTTTCAAATGCCTATAACTTGAGTACTATTTCAGTTAGATAAATGAAATTTCACACGTAAGTAAAAGATCTAATTCTCTACCTTCTCTCAAATTTTGAGTAATTTCCGTTGAACGGAAGTAGTAATTTACGCTACTTCCGATTTCTCAAAAACCTAATGTAAATTTTTAAAGTACTAATAATATTGCGCACTATTATGCACTTTTTTACTTGGCGTTCACTTGGTGTGCAATTATTTTGTCTACGAGGTTTTATTCTATTTTTAAAACTTTAAGTCTTTAAAATTAATTAAAAATCATGTCTATAGCCCGAGTTCCCATCCCCTGTTGTTTTATATAAGAATATTCGAGAAAGTTTAGGGGAGATCACTCCCGGTTTATTATGTTACACAATCGTAGAATACGCTTTAGTTCAATGGGTTTCTTTTCTGAGTGATATCGGTTATTTATTCCTTAATCCGGTGTGATTTTTTTCGATTTTAGTCTTCGAAAAAGCGCCCCCCCCCTCCACATCTAGTAAAGCTGGAAAGCGGTTTTTCCAGTCACTGTTTCTTAAAGATATACGTTTTACAGTTACACAATCATGGTAGAAAACAGTTAAATCAGTTGCAAGGCTCTAAGCCGTTAAATTTCTTAACTTTGACTGTTTATAATTCAAAACTGCAGCTTAAAATGAGCTTTTAATGTTTTTTTCTACCCCTTTTGGCGCCCCCTAAGGGTCGGCGCCCGGGGCGGCCGCCCTCCCCGCCCTCCCCTAGCTACGCCTCTGGATATTGGTTGAGTCCAGAGTTTCTTCCAGGCATCTCTTCGGCGGAGCCCCCCCCCCCCAAAGAAAGTCTACCGCCCCCCCTACCCCCGAACGAGATGGAATTTATATAGTAAACATATACTTTTACAAGTGTCCGCCCCCCGGAGAAAAAAAGTCTGGAAGAAACACTGGTTGGGTCAAAATATCAACTTTCTGTGTTATGTACATTTTTAGGATGGAGTGGCCTAGCGGCAGAGAGCTAGACTGCTAACCCATAAGTCTCGAGTTCGAATCAAGTCAATAGACCGTACCTGAGTCCACCCAGCTCTGATGGGTACCTAACTCACGTTAGGGAAAGTAGAGGTGG